GAGCCATTGTTATCTCTATATCGGACACGTCTTCTTACTAATTGCGTCCCGTCGAAGACACGACTGTTATTCTATCTTTAATTCCAATGTAAGAGCATTAACATCCGGGCGCAGATTGCTACAACATTATTTCTCATCCGTCAGTTACATTCGCGATGCGTTTCACTTGGGCTATATTGTTTGATGATTACGGATGAAGCTTTATATCCGATCAATCACGCTTGACGGGTACATTGGGCAACTGACTCGAGTGGGTTAATGCGTCCATCGATTATAGATGCGCGTTTCAATGATGAATCCGCGTCGGAATCGATTGCCGAGCGGCACCGTGCCGTCTGTTAACACACATTTAATCCGCGACACCGATACGATATTTTTACACGATGACTTCCGGCTCTTTTTTCAAGTCGGTAGCTCGCCGCGTCCTCGATTTTTCACAAGCATCGCCGATATATCGATCGCAATTACGTGGCGCCCGCGCATTTTACACACGACGCGTGTCGAACGGTCCATTATCGCGACGATTAATTCCGATGAAATATCGTAGCCGGCAATTTTAATCATTGCGATACGACACACTTGTTGTAACAAGAAACAATACGGTTACATCCGTGAGGAATATTTTTACGTCACCGACATTTCTGTCAAATAAATATACATTCTACAAAATTTATGTGTGTAAAAATTTCGATAAATTTTGCGTTTATTAAACGCACGCGTTATTCTTTACTGGAGCGCATGCGACACATTTTTATAACAATGATACATATCGGAAAGATTGAAAAATGTTCTCGCTCTTCTTTAAGAACAACATTTCCACGACCGTTGCCTAGGGAGAGACGTTTCGTTCAATAGGAAACGCGAACGCTAAAGTTTTTGCAACGTGTCTATCTCCCGTCGTCCGCCCCCCGTGAATTTAATTTACCCCTAAACAGTCGACGGTGGCAAGTAGAAATGCCTCGGACGAACTTTCTTACTCGACCCACTTAACGATTTTACGTCCGGCCGCTGACGGCCCGATGGAATCGGCCTCAAAACCATATACAGAGTGACTAATTTAATTTTTTCACATTAAACTAGTAACAATCTCTATGCAACCGGCGTCGAAATAATTGCCTTTTCTTTTAATATGCAATCGCTATGAATCTTTTCCCTTTAGAACATTTAGGATTTACTACCCTATATTTTTATTCAATTGTCTATTATTATGCATAGTAACATAGTACTCTGATTTATTACTATTTTATCGAGAGAGAAGATTAACGTAGAAAAGGGAATATTTCGTTTTTTAAATATTTTTTTCTCAATCGTATTCGTTACCGAGCATTTATCATTTACAGTTTATCCCGCTAACCGATCGTTGATACGCACAATAAAATGCTTCGCTTAATTGTCGGAGGAAAGAGAGATATTAATTGAACGCGAACGAGAACCCGTTCAAATTTATTTGTAAAATTATACGCGCGTAATAACGGCGATAATGAAACGATTTATTTTTTTTTTATGTGATTTCGAAAAGTACTGTGACGCCACGATAATGTTTTATTATTTATTTTCCTGAATATTTCATAACTCATATATCGAATTGTGAAATTATTACTGAATATCATTACTATACAAAAGATACTTATGTTTCATTTGATATGATGTAAGTGAGAAAATCGCAAAATGTACGAGAATGAACAAATAAATTCATACGTTTTTATAGACATAAAAAAAAAGATATCGATGACATGCAATCATGCCTCGCGGGCTATTATTGTTTTATTCCGCGAGTCGCACGAAAAAAAAAGAAAGCGACATAATCAAAATATACAATTGAAAAAAATTCAGATTTAATGATTTAAATACTTTAAAATCTAAGAAATCAGTACTTTTTAAAAATTTTAAAATCTGAAAACTTTTTGTGAATCTTGAGAATTCCAAAAAAAAATTCATTTAATTATTTGAAAAGTACGAGAACTTAAAGATTTTAGAAATTTAATGATTTAAGGATTTGGAGGTTCTACAGGTTCGTGGATTTTTAGCTCAAAATTTGAATTCCGAATTCTGAGGATTTTGAATCCGAGAATCGCAGAATCCAAGACTGTTGGAAAGTCGAGGATTCAAGAAGCGAAGCTTGTCGTGTTTTTTCGGTCAAAATGCGCGAAACAGATGAAATATAGGAGATTCAGCGGTGCATTCGACATTTGAGGTGCATTCTTACCAAGCTGCAGCGAGATTGCGTCCGTCTGGGATTGCGAGTCACGGGGCACTGAGCTTGCAAGACACATCCAGGCCAACAGACCGCGCTTGCAAGCCTCGCGACTCGCAAAGTCGACTCTACGTCTATCGTCTCTCCCTTCCATCACCGCCTACCACAACCCTTCACCTAACTCACAGTATTTTCCCTCCCAAATTCTTTTGAATCATCATGGAAGAAGATTCGCTAGAAGATTGCGATTACTATTTAGAAATTATCAATAATTGGCCGAATGCATATTTCTACTTCCGGATATTTATCTCTTCGCATTTTAAAATTATATGACATAAAAATTTACATTTTTTAATTGTTACAATGATTACGATATCTAAGATCTTAAATTTTTTGATATTTTGGATTTAAAATATTGAGACTTATAGGATTTTAACTTTTCAAATTCTATAACCGTTGAATTTACTTGGAGAACTCGAAAGCTTCAAGCCACTTATCACGGTTTCATTATGATTAGCTAGTCTCTTCGATGCATTCCTCATCGATAATCGCAGAATGGAAAAGCAATGCTAGCAGTTACAGCTTTCCCCAAAATAATCCCCGGTTTCATCCGGCGCCGCGTTTAACGACCGCCAAAAATACGCGAAGTCGAACTATCCATTTATTCGCGTCACGAATTCCGCGCGTCTCGGCGGATTTTTTTTTTTTTGTCGATTGGCGAATTATTGCGAGCGATTTGTTCCCGCGAATGCGGACTATTTCGATACAAGGGACAACGATGCGAAAACGATTAAAGCGGAATAAACAGCGAATCCGCATGCCGACGGCGGAACGACTTTTGCGGTTCGCGCAGCGTTTCGATGCAGTATCAATTTGTCATTGTTACACTTACGAGAGGGCTCACGCTGTCGTAATACGTATTGTAATACAAAGTTGGAACTGGCAATTCCGAAATGGCGATTAAGCGCGGCACGACACCGTAATCACCATCACGAAAGGAACGAACTTGAAGCTATCGATGATAATAGATTAAATCGCGCCGATTGGCGGGCCTTGACCGAAAGCCATCAATGTTTTTGCCACGTGATGGTCGACGGATGATCGAAAAGTTATGTGCAATCTACGGTTATTAAGGTGATTTTAGTATGACTTTAATATTGCACATGTCATATCACACAATATCAAATATTCCATTGCCATAGTTGTCACGGTTGTTGAATGTGTAAAAAAAACAACGTATTTTAATCCCGCCGGTGTGTTTTATGAGAGATAGCACGAATAGATCTTTACACATTCTATAAAAAAATACTATAATGTACGCAAAAATAGAATTATTTATATGTAGCTTCCCGTGCAATTCAACTGTATCTGTAATTTTTTATTTTGACAATGCGGCGTTGGGGAGCTAAAAAGTTGGGAAGCTAAATTACATTTGGTTTAGCCACATCGGGCAAACATATCTGTAATAACATTTAATAATAATCCTTTTGCGTTATTTACACGTTTTTGCGAGTAATTGCCGCCACTACATCACAATATATATTTCAGTTTCGTGACTTTTCGATCATCCTGTATCCATATTCCGCACGTATATTCGCGCAGCGAGCAAAGGGCACTACGAGAGGGTGTTGATTTTCCCACAGTTATCAAGACGGACAGGTTATCGGCGTTCCGAAGGCTATCTGTTCGACTTGCAGCGTGATTAAATTGAAACATCACCACTGCAAAGCGTACTAATAACGACAGCATCGTGTCTGACATAAATGTTCATCTATCACAACAATATCATTTGCATTTTTATCATCAGTTATATGTTATTTTTAACAAATATATGGAATATCATGTTACCTTTTACTCATTAATTTATGAACGTTTATGAACTTAAATTCATTAATTTATGAACGTTTATACAAACTAAGCATTCCAAAGAGACGGGTCATGAGTCGATTTTATACACGATATATTACACGTCACATCCTTTTTAATACAAATCAATATAATTAATAGAAATTACGATTTAAAACATAAAAAATTGGCTCTTTTAAATTTTATCTTTATCTTATTAAAGATCGATGATATTAAATATATTGTTTGTTTACAGAATTCTTTGTAAAAAAAATGGAAATCTCATGTAAATTATAATTTTGCATTGACACTCGTCGAATAAAGAGATGTAAAAAAAGTTGAATATTGAAAAAATTAATATATTTGCAAGGAAAATCTGATAACGCCTAGTGGTGGCTAGTGACAGAGAAAATAAAAAATATACAAGCAGATTTCATCGAGACTGCGGCAAGGTGCGGCGAAATTCCGGTGGTGAAAGGAAAGGCACGTGCAACACGATTCGCAAGTATCTTCCGGAATACTTAGTACAAAGTATTGGTGTACTTCGAGCATCTTAAGTGGCGATCGGAAACTTTTCTGTCGATAGTCTCGAGAAAAGCTCGCAATTTTCGTCGGCATTCTTATCGCGTTAGCCACGGTATCAGAATATCGAGGATTATTACAACTTTTCTGATAATAATGAAGAAATATAATGTTATCTAATATTATACTAATCTATTTTTTAATAATTGTTAAAATAATCGAAGATACATCATCTTATTTTCTAAGACATTTGTTAGAATAACAGTTTATAATACAAAACCGGTCTACAGACATCAAATTAAATTGCCAAGTGATTTTTTGCGCGAAAAGGTAAAAACAGGAGAATCTATTTTCAAAGTCGTGGATTTATGTTATAAATTTCACAAGTATTTATTTTCAGAGCAATTTAAAAGGTGTTTCTGTTGGCTAATACATTTACCTAACTGTCACGCGATAGATCCTTTCGTGTTTGCTCTCCTGCTCGATCTTTGAAAAGATTCCTTCGCAAAGACGTGGAATGAGTCCCGGATCCTCCTGAAAAAAGAAGAAGAATTACGTATGATAAAATTAATGCAAATTTAAAAATATTATATTAAATATTTGATTTAAATTTCTACTAATTAATTATAATTTTAATCATTATAGAAACATTATTTGAAAATAATGGGAGATATATAATAAAAAAATAATGGAATAAATTATTTTATTTATGAGAAAAATTATTCAAAACATTGATTTTTCAATTAATTTATTATTTATGCGATGTATGTGCTTCTATAAATATAAAATGATCAAAATATTGTTAAAGTTAGAAAAAGATAGACAACAAGAGATAATTTGTTTTGTGGAAAGAGTGAGAATTCAGTCAATAAAGCTTATTCGGACCGGAAACAGCGCGCGCAACACCTTAACGAGGGAGGCCTTGTCAATTTCGAAATTTGATGCATTATTAACCAGCACTCGAAGCGTCCTTTTATAATTGAAACCCGACAAACGAGTGCGCTGCACAGCCGCAACACGTGCTACGCTTTTAAAAGTCTGTTCACTCACCCTCGTTCTCCGCCACCCACCTTTTCATCCCCTGCGCCATGCATCCCCTCGCACCCGAATGCATCTCCCGACCGCGCGAAATACGCCGGCGGAGGCCACCATACAATTTAATTAAGCGCCATTCCACAAAAACAGTTTCAATTTACTGTTTGAAATTTTTGAGACGAGAAACGGAACATCGATTTGATTCGGCAACGAGCTCTCTTTCTCTCTTGTCGACCAATTAGAGCCGTGCGATATAATAATTTCGCGAATGGGATCGACTGCGAGAGGGAGGGGGGAGAGAAGATAGGGTGGGAAAAGGAAAGCGACAGATAATCAGATCAGGTGCCGTTTGAACTCTAAATATATATCGGATGGTTTATGCAGAATGCAAAACATCTAATTTCGCGAAGCTATTATAGAGAACGCTTGAGTTGATGGAAGCTAAATATTTCCCGGGAAATTCATCCCACCGATTTTCTTCTGTTTGCCAATACGATGGTAAAGTAAGAGAGATTTTATAAATGAGTAAATTAATATAATAGTCATGTTGTCATCAGCGAGGATGAAACGAGTTTTATTGTAAAAACTCATTAATGTCCAAATTATTTTATGTCATTTGATGTGCATCTTCAAAGAAAAAGAATAATAATATTAAAAGATAAAAACTGACATTACAAAATTGAAATCTAGGATATGACATTATATCAATAAATACATTGTAAATATATAAATAAATAACAACATTTTGTCATTTAAAGTTTTAATATTAATGAAAAACTAATAATAATAATGAAAAACATAATAATTAGTAAGAAAAAATTAAAAATTACTTAAAATAATAAATACGTGTAATATCTAACTAAAAATTATTTATAAGAATTATTTTTATTAACAATATTTTTATTTAAATGCCAAAATCATACGTTGCAATAAAATACATATAATAAAAGTTTGATTGTTATAAATTTAAAAGAAGATGTATCTTTCATAACTATTAACAGAAATGTTTATAAAAACACAGAATTTACTATAAATTATTATATGAAAGTTTGAACATACAGGAGACTCAATTTAGTTAAAACAATCCCGTCAAATATTCAAACATTCTTCAAACATTTGTCAAGATTCATGTTTTAAAAACTCTTTATTAGTTTTAAAAACTCAAGTTTAGTTTTAAACAATAGTTATAAACAATTTAGTTTTAAAAACTCGATATCGACATTTTTGTATGGTACTTTTTTGCAATATACAATTTGCACGTTGTTAAATAGAATCAAAATCGCCAAAAATATTTTAACAGTAAACAGCAACAGTTAAATTAAATAAATATTTGCCAATAACAATCTATTATCAATTTTTTCGACGTACTAGGCCTCGTTAAAAATTCTATGACGTTATATCAGATATAAACTTATTGTTTAAATTCAAATAAAAACATCTCGAATTATTAAAAGAAATAAGAAGAAAGATATCCTTTAGGAAAAACAGAAAAACAGGTATTTGTTTGATCTGTGTGGAAAAGCGCGTTAAAGAATTGATAAGATTTTTCAGTGAAATTAATTAATATGTCAGTCAGATTTGCAAGCCGAATTTTTAGATCGCGATATGTATGTACATGTTTTGCACAGATATTTTCGCGGGTATTGCGAAAACGTCAGCGGGTACAACGCTGATGACAACAGAACGCTGTCCGACCGGAATAAAAGCAAATAGATTGTGCCCGTTCTGTCGCATTGTGTAGAAAATAAAAAAAAATAACATTTCACAAATATATTAATAAAACGCGAGATAAATCAAAGTAATTCTCAGCTCACACGTGCACGGGTGCGCGCTTGCTTTGTAAATAAATAACCGCCGGCCGTATTGGTCGGAAATAGGGGCGACGGGTCGGACGGTGTGTGTGTGTGTGATGCGCGCGCGTGTGTGTGTGTGTGTGTGTGTGTGTGTGTGTGTGTGTTTGTGTGGTACGTGCGGAGGAGATCCTATTATGTGCCGCAAAAATGAAAATAAAGTGCCAATCAGATTTATTACGAGATAAATCGAAACAATTTGCGCATTGCACGTTGACCCGTAAACACATCATCACCGGTTTATTCAGACGGCAAAAGAGTTCTGCAATACTGCCGCGTGAAAATAACGTTGATAAAATAGACACAAAATGCGAAATGTATTTTAGCAAGCGATGAGGACATGCACGGAATCGCAAACGCAATTTTTTCCATATATAGGGCACCTCACTGCTGTCTCCTGTCATCCCTCTACTGTCGAATAAAGCTTCAATAAAAAGTTTGCAGATATTTTTAAAACGATTTTTTGACAATGCAGATACTTTTTGATTACGGTTAGAACAATCGAGAAGTTCTTTTCTTTAAAGATTACATATACATAGCAACAAATTTATAATATAGCTTAACAGAATACAACATTAAATTAAAAATTGATATTATTAATATTTCGTTAGATATGCGACATTGTATTATAATATCTCATAATATACATTTATAAATTATCATTTAATGCACATAATTATGTGTTTCGTGACGTATCGCATCACAAAGTCAAAATAAGCTATATGCTCAAAATGCTCAATTATTCATATGTCCGATTACGGAGAATCTACATCAAGTAAATTTATAATACATATATAGAGTGCATGTTTGAAGTTTAAAATTAATAAAAATGTGTTTAAAATCATATTAACATCTTGCGTGAGCATTTTATATTGTGTCTGTACAAACTAAAATGCCGAAATTAAATATGCGGTGGATCGTTTATGAAATTCCAATAGTAATTCGTGTCCGAATTATCCAGTTGAAAATTATAATAAAACAGCCGCCTGATTACACACCTTTGTGCCCATCATGGTGTAGGTTTTGCCTGACGCGCTCTGGCCGTAAGCCACCAGGCAAGAATTATATCCAGAGAACATAGCATCCAGGATGGACTGGCCGAGCGTCTCGTAGATCGTTGTTTGAGTGGCGTAATTTTTCGCTTCAGGATCCGACGAATCGAAGCAGTAATCGAAACCATATCTTCGCGTTCTCTCGCGACTGTCCCCGACCTTGCTCGGTGATACCTTCAAATTCGTCAGGACAATCTCATTCGGTTCTGCATGAACAACTACTGCGGATCCCGTCGAATTTAATTCTCTGCGCATAATTAAAGAATATATATATATATATATATATAAAACATGCGTGAATTTAAAAATTCATGTATACGACAGTCTGAAAATTAACAAAAAAAAAATGTAGAAACTTGAGGATCTAGAACCTGACAATATATATTTCGAAATTTAAAAATCTTAAAAATTAAAACATTCAAGAAAATTTCTATAGATTTCCATAGATTTGTCTATAGAATATTTAAACAAAGCATATCATTTGATTTTGAAGATTTCGTAAAGTTGACCGATCAAACGAAGAATAATGGATGGTATCGTCGCAAATATTTGCGAGAAGGGTCAATAAACGCAAGCATTTCAAGTAGCTTCAACATTTTCGAAGCCGGCATTTTTCCATCTTCCTCGTCCGCGTGTGTTACGTTCTCCCATTGCTACTCTCCTTTTTTTATTTCATCCTTCTTTGCCGAGCACATTTTTTCATGGATCGTGGATCGGAATCGATTCATGCTGAAAAGCAGTGGCGGTAGCGACAACAGCGGTGATGCACCATGCGTCGCGTTCACACGGGGGTATGCGCCCCCCATATTATTCTATAGAGAGCTTTGCCCGATTTTCTCAAAGCATTCCGCACAATCGGCCGCGTTTACGATTGTTTTATAGAAAAAATTATTGTCGTTACAATATGTTGTCGATTTTAGAATTACAATACATGCAATATTTTACAACCAATATTTTCGGCTATATATTAAAAGTATATCTAACAAATTCATATCTAAAAAGCATAAAAACATGAACAATAGATTTAATAATAGATAATTTCGAGAATCTGAGCTTTTCCTTGTGATAATGTAATGTCAATAATTCTATCTTATTAAAAATATAGATATATTACAATTATCAAGATGACTTTTGCAAGAAATGCAAACTAAAAAATATCAAAAAATACCAAAGTGATTTTTGTTTGAGCAGTGAAGATCACAGAGTGTTTATACCTCTTCAGTTTTATAATTTTGGATCGCAAAAAAGAAAATGAACATTTTGATGACTTAGAAAAAAAATTTATCTAATAAAATCAAGCAATATTGAATTCATGGCACTATTTATTTGCGAAAATTTAGTATAATCTTCGTATCAAATCCATTTATAAAACGGACACTTAGAAACAATAAATTTACACACGTGATAACACGTAACATTAATTGGTACAGCATTATTGTTGTAAAAAACATGTTGTAGCCAGGTCTACAACCAATAATAAAAGTAGCCCAACAAAATTAGGTCGCATGAACCTCGAAAAGTCTTTCGAAAGACGACACAAATGTGTGCCCGCCGAAATCGCGACCAGTCTTTCGAAAGACCGCAGAAATGCATCGCGAGAACATTGCGAAAAAGCCTATCAGCAAATTCTTAAACTTAATGATCAAACCGAGCGTAATATTGATTAATCAATATCACGCAACCGATCGACGCAATCGATCAGAATGCTGACCGGGCATCGATCAGACTATAGAACCGATTATACAAGACGGAATAGATAGAGTCGGGAATCAATCAAACATAACATGTCGTTCGGAATCGTTATTATAATTATCGCGCAAGATATTACACGAGCACAGCGAAGTTCCCGCGAGCCGTACTATCAGCGTCTCAGGTGACACATTCGGTCGACGGCCGCCAGAGTAACGAGATACGCGCCCGCCGACGTTTAACCGTGTGTGAAAGAAATAAAATAAGAAATATTAAATCCAAGAAATTGTGCAATTGTTAAATAAATCAAGTAACTTAAAGAAAGTGTGTTAATGATTTCAAGAAGATTTCTTTCCATTCGTTTGATCCTGCTCGGAGTCCCAACTCCTTAGGCTTAACGAACCCGACTATCTCTAAAAATTAACGTTGTAGCCCATCCGGGGTACAACAAACATCATGTCACGAATTAATGTCATCGCATATTAAGATCGTTAATTAAAGAACGAAATTAATCGAGCATCAAGAGTATGCGTAGTTCAAATGCTAATTGGTTTTCTTATTTGTAATCGAATTCTAAGAATTCATTAACGATAAGATATCTTTTTTATCTTATATCCACCTGTCGTATGATAATTCTGATGTACACTTTGTTACACGGGTATTATGGACATTCGTACATATAGTGACACCTGTATAAAATGAATCGTAATGAAGAT